AAAAAAAAAAAAAAAAAAAAAAAAAAAAAAAAAAAAACGAAGGAAGTGAATCACCGAGCTTTTAATAACTTTTGGATTATGTGATTGAAAATAAGTAACTTCCGAATTTTGAAGATGAAGTCAACGGTTCTTCGAATTACCGCGCGCTTGTCACAGCTGATGTCATCGAATTTATTTAAACGTTCGAGTAATCACAGAAAATTAGGTCGATAATTTTTCCGCGTTCATCGCAAACAACGCTAATGTATATCTAATGCGCATGTAAATATATAAAAAATATACAACAAAAACCACGGCGAAGACTACTTAAAACACACCGATCGCTTTTCGTGAGAAAAGCTCACGAAATCGTTGAGGAAAACGCTCACGTGTCACGTGTTTTCGATAAACGCTTTTCGCTTGAAACGCCAGAATCTCGCACTCAACACTTTTCGAAACATTACGCGCGAACGCAGCATCCTGCGCGAGATATATATCCGCTCTTATATTTTGCTGTTCTCTAAAAGATTGAAATGCAGAAAGATTTGCTGTCAAAAAGCGTCACGTCTGAAAACAACTAACCTGTCGACGAGATTCTCCATGCTGCTGCGCAGTCGCTGCGAGAAATTCGTCGAGATGTTCTTCATCTCGGATATGCCACGTTTGAGTTCCGTCAGATCGCTCTTCATGGAGCTCGCTTTCATCTCACTCGACGAGGACGAGGTGAGAATCCTCTGCGAGGATTTGGCCACTCGGCTGCTCGTGCTGCTCGTGCTGGTGCTGGTGCTGCTGCTACTCTGATGTTGGCTCTGATTCGTCGTCAGCATCTGCCGAGTCAAAAGCCGTTTTCGTTCTATTTAAGATCCGCGAAAGACTGACTCATCCTGTTTTCGCGCCCCCTTATTCTGTCTCCGTCTCTGTCTCTCAACCAACTTTTGCATTTTGAAACGCTATATAAAAACGACGCTTTAGCGCAGTCGTCACGTAATCGTCAACTCGAGTTCCATCGCGATAAATATTAACACAAATTGTGCAACACAATCGTAGTTTTCGATTTCATCCGCGAGAAATAAATACGTCGCGCAGACTCACACGTGCCGTGTGTCACGTCATAAAATTAGATAACGCTCGTTGTTATTTAGCGAATCGGAATATAATAATTCCTCGAGAATAACGAACGGGTAAGAATGTAAACAGGCTTGTTCCGAGTGAATGTAACACCGCTTGGCCGTGGGCCAATAGTCATTACGAGACGACGCGCGATGACTCGGCCAAAAAGCCTGGAATAAGAAAAGGGCTCGGTAAATTTAGAAAGAGGCAACGTTCTCTCGGGAAGCGAGAGGAGGGACCTTGAAACCACACGACGCGGTGTAACCAAGGTTCATCGCGAGTTCGCGCCGGACTCCGGATGGAGAAAAAGAAAAAAAACACACACACGTGGGCGAGATCGTGTTGCGTAAAATACTTGTGGACTCGAGCGATCGTTTTCTGATTGCGCGACGATCGCGGATGAACAGACAATGGAGCGGTGTGTCACCTCGTAGGACGAAAATTATTTTGACGTCAAAGGCGTGTATCGCATATTACACGTCGATATTTGAACGAGACTCGAAGAAAAAACTGACGTTCAGCTTTAGCGTAAAAATGTTCAAAGGACACGTGTAACTTTGGCAATTACAAATGTTTCGCGCCGAATTGACCGATTTGTAAAACGTTTTATTTTCGGCGCTTTTAACAGACAGTCGTGACGGAATCGTGACGGGTGAATAATTCCAAGTTTCCGTATACTCGTTTTCTCGGGAAATTCGTCTCAGGTGTGGGCGTCGGAGGCGTCGCGGCACTTCTGATGCCGCTATAGCAGAATTAGTTTAGCGACGAGATTGCAAACCGCGTAATCCTCGAACCGCGAAAAAGGTAATAATCACATTTTCCCCGAAGCGGTAACACTTGAATAAATATCGTAACACATAATCGCTCGCGACTCGCTTCTGCTGAATACGCACAAGTAACGCGAAGTGTGCGAAAATACCAACGCAAATCTCCGACTGCGTTCGCTCTCTCTCTTTTTTTTTTTTTTTTTTTTTTTTTTTTTTTTTTTTTTTTTTTTTTTTTTTTTTTTTTTTTTTTTTTAAGAGCGTGTATAACAAGAGAAACTCAGTGAAAAATTAATTGAATTGAAAATAAATAAAAAAAAAACAAAACCAAAATGTAAAATTGTGTAATTTGCAAAACTGGCGCCGTGTAAATAAAAACAAAAACCTTTGGTTATCGAGTGAAACTTCTACGCCTGTGTCAATTGGCGGAAAATTGTACAAAGAAACGTGCAAAGTGATGGTATCCGATCCGCAGAAATACAAGTGACGAGTCTTCTCCTTCTCGTGTTCAAAGAGTCGTTCGCGCGACAGCGTCTTGCAGCGTTCGAAAAGTATGCGCAAATATTTGCGAGCTGAGGAAAGGAAAGAGAAGAGTCTCTCGAAACACGTCGTCACAAATAATTACCTGCGACGATGTGGTGGTGACCTGCGGATGATGAGTGACGTGATGCGTCCTGCCGGTCACCAGATTGTTTTTCTTCTGAAAGTTCTCCATGACAGTATGCATGTCTCCGTTTTCGGCTGTGTCCACTGGGAACTCCGACATCTGCAACAAGCAGTCGACGCGTCGTTAAACAATCCGATTTTCAAACGCGTTTGATCAAAGTCAAGATATTGAAGAAATTTACTGTAAAAAAAAAAAATTATTGAAAAATTTCTTACGTCTTTTTGCACTTTTATCTTCAAGAAATAAAATATTATAGTATATTTACTCTCGCGTTGTGCCAAATTTTGCAACAATCGAATTTCTTTGTGCTACAATTTGAATGGCATGTTCGTTTTAATAACGGTGTGCTGACGAAGATTTTATTCCTTGTACGATCGCGCGGTAATTAAACTGGCGCGTCGTCGTCGCAGGAATTCGCCGACACCGCAGGGCCTAATAATAGGCCCGAGGAAGTGATTGGCAGCGTGACTTTGGCAAGAGAAGAGAGCAGACCGATCTTGAGCGCGTAGAGCTCGCGCGCCGATCTTGCGCGTATAACTGCGAGATATACTGCGCTACTGCGTCGCGTTCTTGTAAACGAGCGAAATAATATGCTGCAGCTCCGTGCCCACGCGCGTTAGTTTGTAATATAAAAAACTTGGTCCGAGAGAAACCGCGCGATCTCGCGAACCCGGATCTCGCAATCAAACGCTCCGATTTCTGAGGCGATCGAGCTTTCTGATTTCGCAATTTTCAAAGAGAGAAATAACGAAAGAAAAAAATGCATATTTTTACAGTTTTCGAATAAAATAATTTAATCGATTGTTTTTAGAAGGGACAATAATTGCGATTCGATCTCCGGTAAGACATTGCAAATCTACACTTTTCAAACGCGCAAAGTATATTGCGCAAACGTAAATTTTATAACACAAACAATTTTATAACACAAACAGTGGCCAAAAACAACATTACAAACGTGTAACTTAAGTATATTGTTAAGAATATGAAACCATTAAAAAAACAACGTAACGTTTTACGCGATAATTCGGAGAACGTGAACTTCATGTTCGAGTGTGTGTTTGACACGTAATTAATTTTTTACTCATCACTCTGTGTTACTATTTTAATCAGAATTACTTCAATTTCAGATTAAAAAAAAATTAAAAAAAAAAATGCGATTATTGCGCATTCGAAACGCATCTTCGCAGCGTTCCAGCGCAAGGAAAATTTTCAAACGCGTCAAAATGTACACCTTGCGCGCCACAGTTTATTGTGTTGCAAATGTCGAGCTCGTTCCAACGCGAGCTACATAATCGGGACAAGTGCAACTATCGCGAGACGTGCGTGGATGGGCGATACGTTGCATTCCATGCATGCGTTCTTTCGATAATTTCGCAGGATTTGCATAGGCGTGGAACGCGCGCAACATGCACATGAGACGCAATATATCCGGCATTATTTCAGATAATTGCTGATGCCGTGTGACGTTCGCTTGATTGAAACCAAAAAAAAAAAAAAAAATAAATAATTTATTTGCAAACGTGAATTTAAAATTAATCGACAACGCGCATTTATAGTCCGTGAGATTATAGTAGCAAACATATTTTTGTATAAAAATATGTAGAGACATAATTACATGTTAAATCAAGTTAATTTTTCACGCAATTCTTCCGGGAAGCGGAAGCTGCATTCGCGGAATTCGCGTATCTTTGTATGTATACGCGCGAGAGCGCTTGTGGTCGAACGTGTTCTCGCGACAGAGAGACAAAGACGGAGCCGGCGCGGCACAGTGGTGCGCTATCGAAGTGAGAGAAACAGGGACGGTTCGCGCGATCAACTGATATCGCAGTGCTCTCTCTTCGATAGCGCGGCATGTGCTCACTTCAGGATCCACGCATCAAGCACGCGCGCGAGGAGAGAACCGGTGGTTCTCTCGAACATTCTCTGCGCGCCGAATTTTGAAGAACAACCAGAAAACTCTGATTGTTTTGTCCAGCGATACTTGGAACCGTTTCGATTTTCCTGAAGCGACAACTGGTCTTCTGTCGCGTAAGGAACAAAGAAAGATAAAAAAAAAAAGAAAAGATGCGCACCCAGGTGACACTTGGCGTCTGACAACTGCCACGTAGTCCCAAGTCGCCGGCGGCAAACAACAGATCGGATGACGATCGGCGGCGATCGCTGGAAGATGATTCCGTGGACAACAACAAACCGTGGTTTGCAGACTCGCTTCACGAGTCGACGGAGGAAGAAGAGCCGAGGTCGCGCGAACGGATAGTACGTCGCATCACGCGTGCCGGCGGCGGCGGCGGCGGCGGCTGGCACAAAAAGCGGCGAAACAGCCCCAACATATCGATAGGCATCGCGCGCGCCGGTCGCGATCGCACTGACGAGCGGCGCTACCGCGCGTGCGACGCGACACGCGCGTCACGTGACACCGGATCACGTGACGCGGCCGCCGCCGTCGCCGCCGACTTGCGACTCTTGCGAGTAGCGCGCGCACGTGATCGCGTCCCGAAGTTAAAGGGACACCGGGGATTTAAATGATAAGCGCGACAAGTTCGCTGGAGTTTTCGATCTTTTTTTACGTGTAAATGTGTTTAGAGATGAGTAACTTGTGTTTGAGATGTTAAACAATTTTTCAAATAGGTGGAAAGAAATGAACATGAAAGAAAAAAAGTCAAAGATACATGTGAAAAAGAGTAATAACAAAATATGAGCAGAAACTAATTTAGTTTCCTCATTAAATAAAACGATTCGATTTATATAAATAAGAAATGAGTTTCAGGAAATCGTGATAAAAAGCAAACGATAACGACGCGATTCCGGGAAGCTTTCGTAAAAAAATCAATCGATTTTTCGATCTCATTCGAGAGAACTACATACATAATCCCGACGCAACAAGTGGGACAACGATAAATGCGCGATTCTCAGAACGACAGTGGCAAAGAGACGAGTTTTTTTTTTTGTCAAGCGTTGCATAAGAGAATCTCGTCTTCTCTCCCCCTCTCCACGGAGTTTCTCGCTCCGGTTAAAAGTGCCAAAGTGCTTTTGCAGCGAGTCTTATGTTTGCGGTAGAAAGTTTACGAGAGTGTTAATCCGCGAGAATCGCCGCGAAACGCTTGATAGTTTCATCGCTCACTTTTCCACGTTTCTCGCCTTTCATTCATCGCGCACAAAAAAACAATTACACAACTTTGCGAAACAACAATCTTTTAGAGAAATAACACAGGTTTAAAAAAATGAAAACAAGTGAAATTGTTTTGCGCGCAATAAATAAATTGAGAAATTACGCTTGAAATAATGAAGCAATTGTTCTCTATACTCAAAAACAAAGAAGATTGTCACATGAACATTGTGACATTCAAAGATAAAAAGTTGTATAAATTAGATTTCGTAGCAAAAAAACAACAAAATAACATCGTCGAGCCGAGGCGGCGAGAGCGCGCACAAAGAAACCCATTCTCTTTATCTCCTCGGGGTATACAAATAATCACATCCGAGTAACTTCGTCAGAATATCCTGACGGAAACTGTTCTTTAAAAACCCGACCGCTGTAAATCGGTGCGAAAAAGAAGCCACGGCACTGTTTGCTGCGAGAAAAGAGAGACACAAAGAGCGGAATGCAGTCCGGCGGGATGCGGCAGGGAAACTCGTAGTCACGGAATTTTTGGCGAAAGTATACCGGGTGTCCTCGGATGTGCTCTTGCTGCGATTGTTAATTAATGTACAATTTGAGAAGAATATTTACCAAACAGATATTTCACGTTGCCCTGAAACGGCCGTTGAGAGCCCGATCTTATCTTGAAATTCGACTCTCAGTTTTCCGATTCGAGATCGGAACTTCGATTTCGACGGTGGAATTTCGAGTGGTCTTCCCTCGGAGAGCGCGCGACGGTTCCGAATATTATTTAAGCACGTCGAATAAATACGCGTACCGTATATGAGAGCGCTCGTCTCTCTTTCTCGATGGAGGCTGCAGCGAACATTTCGCGTCGCGGCGGCCGCACGCGCTCTTCGGCGCCGGTTGATTTACAGCGGCCGTAAATAGCGTTCGCGAGTGGCTTTTTCCTGTGCCCGCGACGGGCAATAACAATTTAGAACGCGCTGTGGTATTGCTCTCGGGAGAGATATCCGGTCTTTTTATTGACCAAAAACTAGCGAGCGCGCGATCACCGATGCTCGAAGATCTCGAGGGGAACTCTCGGAGAGGAATTAAAAAAAAAAAACAAAATCCACAAGTTAACTACCGAATGTTTTGTTCTTGGAACGTGCGCGCGCGCGCGCGGAACTGCCGAACGAATGGTCATAAGTGTTGTATATTTCTCAGTTAATGGTGGAGGTCGTCCTCCGTAGGCGGTTCTCGGTTCTCGCCAGACACAAAGAGGTGATACGACGTGTGTCGTGCGCCGTAAAGTCGCGTCCACAATCAATCGAGTTCGTAAACTCGTGTCTGAATAATGACTCGAACAAACAACCTTGAAACAACAAAGTATCGTTGACAAATACCTCTCAAAGAAAGTAACAAAACTGGCCTGTATCTCGAAAGAACGACCGTAATGTAAACCGCAAATTCTCCCGATAACGTGACGAAGACACCGAATATTCGCGAATGTTTGACTAACGAATTATCGATTTGCGACGTAATTCAAGTGTGAAATAGCCTTTAAAACCGGTAAGATTTGTCCTTACATCGAATTAATTCTCCACGTTTTTTTTCTCGCATTTCGTTAATTATTGTGCGGAAAATTCAATAAAAATTATTTGAAGAAAATCAAAGATATTTTTTCGCACATTGTCTCCGAAAACAAAAACAAACGTCAGAAAACGAAGCTAACCTCCGAACGAGTTTAGCGAACGATCAGACATTCGCGCTCCAATTTCATTTTCGAGAACAGAGTCGTCATAGTCGTTCGAGAATATTGGACGTTATTTAAGGTTGGACAAATTCCTCGATGTACAACGTGCGATAAGTTTGTACATTTGTACCGCTTCAAACAAAGACGCTTTGTGCTGTCGAGACGCGGCAAGAAGGAACGCGCATTTCCACGCACACGTTCTACCGGTTACCGCGCGCGGCATAAAGAAGGCCAACAGCTGGTGTACCGGGAATTCCTGGTCGCATTTCGTGACATCGTGTCGTCTTAAGAACGAGAGAATTTTTAATTCTTCAGCACAGAGCAAAGATTCGATATTTTTACTGTGTCAGTTTGGTTTTTTTTTTTTTTTTTGAACTTATTTCATTTATTTCTCGTATTATATATTTTGCTATATGTGTGTGCAATAAAATATATACAACTAAGAAAAAACCAAAGATCTTATTGTCCAGGGAGTTGAAGGTCGATGTTAAAATACAACAAAAAACGCAGTGTATTCCGGACGTTTCGATCACTTTTTATTGTTGATCATCTTCAGCACTGTTTAAATAACTGAGTTTTATTATTTTTACAATTTTATAATTTTCGTATTATTATTATGTAAACAGTGCTGAAGACGATCAACAATAAAAAGTGATCAAAACGTCCGGAATACACTGCGTTTTTTGTTGTATTTAAACGTCGACTTTTAACCTGGACCATAGGCTCTTTTGATGTTTTCTTAGTTTTATAATTGTTTCATCGAGCCATTATTAATATTAAAAATATATACATTTATTGTCTCGCTGCCGCACTCAAAAAGTTTATCGAAATGTGGCTGTCTTTTGTTTTATCCTTTGTCTTTTTGAAAACCGAAATTAAATTGCAGTTTCTTATCTCGTCGCGTCTAAAAATAAAAATAAAAAATGATAACAATTGAGAAGATATTGAAGACGATAGAAGATAGAGGAACAAATACAAGAATACGTTTTAAAGAGAATTATCTCCGAAACGATTTGGTAATCTCCAATTTAGGAAAACTGTCAATGTTTCATGAGTGTGTGATCGGCGCTTATCTTTCACAATTCCTCTTAATATCGGGAAGAATGCGATTACACTGATAAAGAGTGAGATTTGAGATCAATGCAAAAATCCTTTCTAGATAGCCCGATAAGTCCAATCACAGAATGACTAATTAATTGGTATTCCGCCAAAATATCGGTGATACAATCGCAAGGAGTAATAAGCGATTGCACACACGTCTCTCGATCGCGAGCACTCGATATCGATAACGAAATTTTAGAGAATGTAGATGCGTCGCGGCTAATAATAAAAATACACACACACACACATATATATATATATATATATTTATTACACCTGGCATTTCCTGGTGTTGCGAAAACATCGCATGATCTAATCACGTCTGATAACACATTAAATGCGTTTATAATCACAACTATTATCAGCACTTACGCAACAGGTATAATAACGCACGATAATATAAATAATGAAAAATAACGCACAAAGTGTACGTACATTATTGAGAAATAAATAATAGCACGATTATAAATAAGAATTACTTAATTACTTGAGACGGAATAGAATTCGAAGAACATTTCGTGACGGAAAATATTGCGTATCGAATAACTCATACATACTTGGATTTTAATAATTCTTGTGCAATGTATTTCGATTGCACAAGAATCTTGTCTCCGAGAAAACAATTCGCAAAAGGTGCACGCTCGTGAAAAGCCAGTGCGAATTGTTCCGAGAAGAATAGAAGTGGAAGCGATTTCGAGGGCGATTCGCTACCGAGAAGTGGCCCGTTTGAGAGAGAGATTTTCGTGAAATATTTATTTAGCGTCGCGACGTCGTCGTGACATCCGAGACGCTCCGAGAAACGCGCATTTTAAATCATGCGCGTTACGAAATCCGCAAAAATACACACTCTCAAGCTTGTCACTGTGTTGAATCAGGGATTAAGCTAAGAGCTTCTATTTTTTTTTTTTTTTTTAATAATAAGAGTGAAACATGACAGACAGAAAACTGCGACGAGATTGAAACTAATCAGCTCGTACAAATGCGTTATGAAATGCTGCCGAGAAAATCTGAAATAAAATCTCGCACATTTATGTTTGCGTTCACCCGAGCACGAGATATTCCATAATTCCATCAATTAAGCCACAATGACACGTATGTGTTCGCATTGAGTCATCTCGATATAATCACGAAGAAACTTCCAGCATCCGCTTGTAACACACCGATTTATTTACACCGCAGTGATTTTTCGCAAAAAATGGCAACAGACACGTAATTTTCCGCATCTCGCAATCTTTTTGTCTCTTTTTTTTTTAATATTCCAATTTTTTTTCTACCTTCAATTTGAGAATATTTCAATTTAATTCCCGAATTCGAGTTGCGAATTCTGCGGAATTCGCGAGAAAACTCGGCAGTCATCACAACAATCAACAAGGATTAGTCATCGCGCGGGTGCACGTGTGCGCGCACGTGTTGGCCGCGCCGGTCGGTGGATCCCTACTTGCGTAGCAAAACGCCGGAGAGGTCGATACATCGCGGGTGTGTGACATCGTTTGTCGTTTTAGCACGATGATGTCACACGTGGCTCTCTCTTCCCGTCTCTCTTTCTCTCTCTCTCTCTCTCTCTCTCGCTCTGTTGATCGCACACGTTTGCTCGTTGTAACGGATCGTGACGTGGCGCCGATCGACCGACAGATATTACGAAGCGTGCGAATCTCGTTAGTGACCCGCGTTAATGACGCGGCGTGACGTCGCGATTAGATTGCACGAACTGTGCGACAGAGAAACTATATATAAATCAATCGAAATTGAATTTATTTCGAGACCGATGAGAAATAAAAAAAAAAATTTTTCAGATTAAACTGTGTATGCGCACACGATTTATCTGAGAGATAAAAATAAAAAAAAAATAGACGCAAAATATTGACAGCTGAAAATAGAATGAGACGATAATTACCGTGGCGTGTTAAAAAAAAAAAAAAACGAAAATGATAAATTCTTGATAACTTACGGATTGTAAAAAAGCGCCTCTGCCCTTATACACGGCGCCGTGTGACCTGTTTCCATGCTTATGCAGCATATTCACAGTCCCCCTGTCGACGCTCATTCATGAATCAACTATATAATGGTATTCCTCACAGAAGCGCTCAGGACAGAGTTCGCGCCAACCGCTTTCACACTTCTCACGGCCGTTCACGATATTGTGTGTTGATGTTTACTCTCGTCGAGTCTGAATAAATGTTGTTTATAGTAACACGGATATCGACACTCTCTCTCTCTCACGCTGACACACGGAATCATTCACCTGGGACAAAAAAAAAGACGCGCGACCAAGCGCGAAACAAAGTTTATTGTTAAACGAAAACAAAAAAGATCGAATATAACAGAGAACGAGCTACGCGAGAAATTCTCGTCGAGGTGAAGCACTCGTAAAACACACCGCGCGACATCCAAATAATGTGTGTGCAAAAGAGAGAATTTGATCGATCGGCAATGCACCAATCGCATATATCGCTATATATATACTCAGCAAGATTCAACACGCGAATTATCAAACGGGTTTCCCACACGCGAGATTACGGATTAACTGGAATATCGTCGCTTCGACGCGAAAATATATCTGTTCGTAATAACACGCTACAAAATTTGTTGACACCAGATCGAGAACGAACCCCGATAACATGTTCCCATAGATTCGCGTGTTATCGCAACTTAACCCAGATCCGAAATTTCTCGGAACGTCTGTCAAACAAGACGCGATCGCGGAAATCTGTCCGATTCGATTGAACTTTTTTTGAGATGATGGGAGAGTTTTATCAGAGCGTGCGAGAAAAGATCGCGCGTAATCGTACCGATAAGAAAAAACCTTATCGCGAGCGAGTTCCGGTGTTCGATCGCGTACGTAATACGTGACTAATTCCGAAGAGAATAAACATTTATGCGCGGTAAAGGCAAAACTATTTTTTTTTTTTAATTAAGAAATGGAGAAAAACAATAACACGCAAGTAAACAAACTAATACGCAGAACGCACTTCCTCAAGAAATTTTGGAAACCACTTCCAAAAATTGCAGAGATAATTCACGAAAAGAATAAAAAAACTCTTTGAAGACGGGGACACCGTCGTTATCGATCGGCGCGATATTTGGCGCGAAACAATAATTCGTCCTCGGCATCTGTTTAAACAAACGCGTATCGGCTTATTTGTGCGAGCGAAGTATTCCCGGGATGCGAGTAAACGTGTGTACAGCAGACGTTTTTCCAAGTAATTCGAACGAACTCAAATTATACAAGCGCCACGACTTTCGATCGACATTCCGCACGTGCAATTTCGTGGGACGTATTTGCACGAAAACAAACATCATCACACGGTTCCTCACTGCACAACGTTGTACTGATTTTTTTCTGACCTAAGAAAATATTTTCTTTTACAGCGCGCGTTGTTTTTTTTTTTTTGATCCCATATAAACTATCGTGAAGTATCTTATCGCGGAGATTATTTTGACTACAATATTTTTTAGATTGCTGTTACAAGTGTCGTGAAAGATTTCGGTCGTTGTACTTTCATCTCGATAAAAAAACAAAAAAAAAGGCCGGAAGATATCGAAACGTCCGGTTTTATTTCCACGAGGAAGTCACGTAGAGCGATCGAACACCTTAAACGGCTCTTACGCGCGAGAATGCACGTGTCGAAGTCGCGTTTTTCTCCTCATCTCGCGAATTTCCGTCCGCTTTTCCTTTCGCGCAACCGACAATGCGAAATCCGTGTGTGTTAATTTTGCAATAAATCGATGAATATTATTATCACACTTTTTTTTTTACTTACAACCGAATGTCTTACGGTATTTTTTGACATTCGTCGCCGTACGTTTTTAGTAGTACATCGAAAACAGATGAATGAGAGAGATCGTGCCTAGCTGGCAAGACTGACATTTGTGTACGCGCAAACACCGCGTTGAGAAAAACAGTCTCATATAGAGAGAGAGACGACGTCGTTCACTGCGCGGGATTCACGAGCAGACTGTCGATTTGCCGACGCGAGTTCTTGATATCGTATTATTGGCGAGCGACCCGATGATTCACGTGTCCGCTGTCAATGGAGTCGACTCGTCTACTGACGATGACGCCTTTATAATGACGAGGAAAAGACGTCGTCGTTACGAGGAGCGCGCGGCAGTGGGGAGTCGGGAATCAGCTGGTGTTTCGCGCTGGAAAAACTTGGAAGAAAGAGAGGAAGGGAAATCAGAGGAGGAGGGGAAGAGCAAGATGTCACCTGAGGTGAGCAGACAGTAACGGATTCGAGAGAGAAACGCCCCGAGACATCTTGTTTCATCGACGATTTTTCAAAGAAATGGGAAAAATTGATGAAAGTCAAAATTATAAACTAAACACTACAGAGAATTTTATTTAATGTAAAAATTAATTTTTAAATTTACTTGTTTTGTTTTTTGAAAGACAAAATATTTTTCATGTCAATAAAAATAACGAAATTCTTCCGTAATTTCATTTTTCTTCTTAATTTACAACTAACGATATCATTTTTTCTCTGTTTTAATATATAGATGTATATGTATTGAAGAAAAAATGAGAGAACGTGTAAAAATAATGTTTTGAAGCTTCTTCTCGTATAGTCGTTTCGCGCGGTTAACTTGAATGAGGGAAACGTAACTCACACGTTCGTCGATGACGTAACTGTGTGACCGTGCTACTTGGACCATTGCGCTACGGCAATCTTTCAATTTGCATGTTGACAGGCCGTGAATTTGCCTGAATCCGCCACTGAATGGAGGGGATCCTCTCGTAACAGCCGGTGCGCGTAATGGGGCACCTTCTTCCGAGAATCGTACGTGTGCGCGCGATGATTCATCCATGCGCGCATCTCAAGAGAAGGGAGGGGGGATAAAAGAATGACGGTGAGTCTCGGGGAAGGTATTTCGGTGTGTAAATACGGACAAACGTGCCGCTGCTTCGTCGAAATGCTTCCCGAATGGGTGACATCTCTTAGCAAGCGGCTCGATAAAAGAAACATCCGGTTTTCTAGGAATGGAATATAATGGGACAGATTGATCGACTCACATATTTAATCGGAACTTTAAGGAGTCGATAACTAAAAATTTGTTTTTTTTTTTTTTTATGAATTTAACTTCCTTGAGTTCGCGTATATCTTATACGAATTCTATTCTATGTAGTTTTTTATTACGCGCGAACACACGAAATCCGTAAATTTAAACGCGAATCTCGACGGTTTCGGTCGATTATGGTCGTATCGCTTAAACGCTGGCGCTTAGTTAATCACGTCTTCGTCATCATCCTGGAATACCTGGAACTGCGAGAGGCAATTAACGTGTCACTCGTTCGCGCGTTTTTGTCGCCGCGGTCGACGTGATCATCACACAACACACACACACACACGGGAGTTTGAGAGAGCAGGACGTAATCTGTCGCCATATAAAGCGAGTCATTTATCGATTTGCGCAAACGTTTCCTTTTATTAGCCGGAATTAGACACTGCCCAGAGGTTAGGCAAGTCTCCACTACTGTTTCATTCAGTCGAGAGTGACGATGATGTAATCGCGATCGTACTACTGTACGTGCCGCTGAATTGAACGCGAGCGACGATAACGCGTCAGATGCATCATCGATTACGCAATTTCGGGCGTTCGCATAAATCGAGCAATTAGTCATCGAGTTGTTCTTTTCGGAGATTCTTATATCTCTTTTCTCGTTCTTCTTTCGGAAGAAGAGAACGGAAACCCTGAACTTGAACGAAGGATTGAGAAAAAAAAAAACGCGCAAACACGAGTTTCGCTCGAGTCTAGTGACTCACTTTCGGTGAGTCAAGAATGTCACGCCGAGATTCGCGCCGAGGTGTTTATCTCTTGGGAAACCGAAAGTCGTCGCTTACCCAAGGTGACAAAACTACATATTCCAAAGGGGTTAGTTTCTCATTCCGACGAAGGTGTAAACGGAGACACCTCGCAACGTAAGCGAAAGAAACATTTCAAATTGCCGCGTCTCTCACACGGACTCATTCGCGAAGCGAAATTCGAACACGCTCGTCACTTCCGGAAACATTGAAACTCTAACTCCGCGCTCGCGCCCGTTATTATCTCGGTCGGATTAGACGTCGAAATTATTCGCGTTGATATACAAGGCAATTACGTTTGTATCGAGAAAAGTACACGTGTAAGCAATCGATTAAATTCGTTCGACAAGATCTACAGATCCGCACGTAGGCGGTTGGAATGTGACTCCATCCTATGTCGAGAATTATTTTCTGCTTCACATCAATCGTGCGTTTGCGCAATGATAAAAGAGAGAGAGATCGGGACTAATCTTCGCTGGAAATTGACCAGAAGCAATAATGGGAAGCCGTCTCGCGGCTGTTCGATCCGATCAATTATCCGCGTGTGTGAGGCTAAACAGCGGCGTAAATATTCGCGTGAGAGAAGAGCGAATCTCGAAGATTAAAGAGAGAGAGAGAGTGCGAGAGGGAGAGAAAGAGAGATAGGAACATCAGCCTCTTCTTGGGGCTTGGGGCTTCGATTAGTCCCGAATGTTTCGCATAGCGTACGGTACGTCGAACCTCTCTCTCGCCGATCTGAAGATCGCACAAACAGGCTTGCTCTATTAGGATGCCCGGCATAACTCCGAAGAGAGAGAGAGAGAGAGAGAGATTCTCAAGGATGGTTACCTCCTTCTCTTCTTTTTTCTCGGTCGCGCGGGGGGCGTTTACTCGGAAGAATTTCCATTCTCGACCCGATAATTATACATTTCCGATACAACGCTCCGATAAAGAAGCACTCATTCCTTTCGTGAGAACATTTTCATTTTTTTTTTTTTTTTGCAATGTCAAATAAAAACTAATGAAATTGAACATCAATTAATTAATTTTTTATCGCTTGCTTTTCGAGCGATATTTAAAAAAAAAAAATGCAATAAATTGGCTCCGTTGTTGTACATCGACACGTATAAGAATACTAAATAATAAATTTTTCAAAATTAAATCTTGGAATCTTTTCTACGAATAACGTGTAATATCGCGCCGTAAAATATCGCATTGTGCAATATCTGTGATGTTTATACGAACGAAATCTCTTGGGAAAGTTTAATTTAACCATCGCGCGCGTCTGTGCAAACTTGAAAGCGCATCTCAACTTCCTAGCTGCTGCTGTTGCTGCACACGTTGCTTCTCGGCGCGGTTTGCGTCTAAATCGAGATGCGCTTTAATTGACCGGTTAGACGCGAACGCGCCTCTCGCAGCTATGCACTCGAGTGCGCAGCGGCGGCAAATTTAGATGGAAAATCGTCTCGCGAAAATTACGACGTTCGATTTGCGTTCAAACAATGCAATGAAGATTCTTCTGGAGTTCTCTCGATGTGACAACTACAGTTGGAATGTTGTGCATTTTATAAAATTACGCAAAAAAAATGTGTTTTTCTCTCTTGAACTGTTTGTTGTCTTCTTTGTAACTTCTTATCTTATTTTCGCGACTACGACGT